AAGTAAAGACTTGTGTCGTTAAAGTTTCGTTGAAACGAAGTTACGGAAAATTAATTAACACGCGGAGACATAACATATCATATCTATCTTTTGGCTTAAACACTTTGTTTTTATAACAACTTACGCCTGTTGATTTTCCGGTATTTCACCGCCTTTCGGTGTTTAAACAGTAATTTTAAAGAGCCTGTATGTATATTCAAACTACACTATTTTTCGCGATATTTTCGACGATGACTTTTTCTCAATACAGAGCTCATTACATTAGGTCGACTGGGACACAACAAACACAGTAGCGGTAGGAACACAATTTACACAAACAATTTTTATACCAATGGTTGTTTGATACGAACGCCTTTTGCTGTCGAAGTATTATCATAATACTAATAGATTAAAACACATTAAGCCTAATAATATTATATTATGACAAATACAACTGATTCATTTTTTTCATTGTTCACTTAACTGTAGGGTAAGCCACAGAAAGCTGGAGATGTATCAGGTCCGTGGGTCAGGTTTGGTGATCATACAGAACCACCTCTTCCTGGCATTCAGACTGTAGATGAATTATTTCGCACTTCTGTAAATAAATATGGAAAAACTCAGTGCTTTGGAACCAGAGAAGTTAAGGGAGAAGAGGAGGAGGTTCAGAAAGACGGAAAAGTTTTTAAGAAGGTGGGTTTACATCTTTGTAGAATTTTACCCATAATATCCACTTCACTTGGGTTTTTTGGTAACTTACGTTGAACTTGAAGATTTAAAAACCAGACTTTTTGCAACAACAAAAATATTTTAATCGTTATTACCTAGTAAATAAAAACAATTTGATATAATTTATAAAATATCATATTGTTACTTTTATATCATTACTTTTTACATTTTATTTTGTATTCTAAAAATTGATTGAAAATAATATGGCATCCATAACTTATTAGAATAATTGTTTATTGTTTATTTGTAATTAAACACAAAGCTACACAATGGGCTATCTGTGCTCTGCCCACCACGGGTATCAAAACCCGGATTCTAGCATTGTAAGTCCACAGACATACCGCTGTGCCACTGGGAGGCTATTAGAATAATACCATAACAAACTGTTATAAGCCACTGTTTAACTATAAAAGGTTATTTAAAAAATATTCCAAAACTACAAGATGTGTTACTTCAAACGAATAAAGAAGATAAAAAATTGATAATACACATGGTGGAGACAAAGAAAATTTAAGTACACAGTGGGAATGACAGAATGCATCATAATAAGAAAGATCTGTATAATGAGGAAAGTCTCAAACAAAACTAGGGTAAAAAATACAAAATGGAATGATAGAATGTATTATTATGGAAAGAAAATATGTACAATAAAAATATTCAAATGAAACTAGGGTGGCCAATTCCATGAACAAATTGGGAATGACAGAATATATCTTTATGAATATGGAAAAAGCACATAACAATTAAAATAATGAAATCTTCAGAGATCTCCATGGTAAGATTATTAACAACATGGAAACAAATAACACAACATTCAAAGAAGTAAGCCTTCAGAGATCTCAATGGTAAGATTGTCAAACTATATAGAGGCAAATAACACAACATTTCAAAGATTTAAGCCTTCAGAGATCCCCATGGTAAGATTGTCAAACAATGTGGAGACAACACAACATTTCAAAGAAGGAAGCCTTCAGAGATCCCCATGGTAAGATTGTCAAACAATGTGAAGACAAAAGACTCTTACCATGGAGATCTCTGAAGGCTTACTTATTTGAAATGTTGTCTGTTAATCTATGTGAAGACAAAAGACACAACATTTCAAAGGTTTAAGCCTTCAGAGATCTCCATAGTAAGATTGTCAAACTATGTGGAGACAAAGAACACAACATTTCAAAGGTTTAAGCCTTCAGAGATCTCCATGGTAAGATTGTTAATCTATGTGAAGACAAAAGACACAACATTTCAAATAAGTAAGTCTTCAGAGATCTCCATGGTAAGATTGTTAAACTATGGGGAGGCAAAAGACACAACATTTCAAATAAGTAAGTCTTCAGAGATCTCCATGGTAAGACTGTTAATCTATGTGAAGACAAAAGACACAACATTTCAAATAAGTAAGCCTTCAGAGATCTCCATGGTAAGACTGTTAGTCTATGTGAAGACAAATAACACAACATTCAAAGA